GTTCCAGTGGGGAATTTTTGTTGTGAATTGCTTCCAAGAGAAAAAATAGTTTGTAAGTATTAATAAAGGCAGTAAGCATATTTTTGGAAGAGGCACAACCCTGATTGGTCACTCTCCCCTGAAACCATTATAGGAAGTGTTAGAATTACTTTTACAGGCTGTTAGAGATGTGTCACCTGTCAAGTTACCTAGCAGAAGAACACAGATTTCTCCCAAGGGCCGAGCGTGATGGCCTAGGAGAGAAATCCTTGCCTTGCCATCCCGGAATGCCCTATAGGGGATGGCTCGTGTTGTAGCTGTTGCATTTCCCTTCTGAGGCAGCCACTTGGGGAATGCACCGGTGGACAGAACATCTTTCTGTTTCCTTCTCTCTGTGAATCTACCTTTCTAATAAGAATAAATAAAATCTTTAAAAGAAACTTACTACAGGGCCCGTCGTAATACCTTAGTCGTTAAAGTCCTTACCTTGCGTGTGCCAGGATCCCATATGGGGGCCAGTTCTAATCCCGGCAGCCCAGCTTCCCATCCAGCTCCCTGCTTGTGGCCTGGGAAAGCAGTGGAGGATGTCCCAAAGCCTTGGCATCCTGCACCTGCGTGGAACCCCCGGAAGAGCTCCTGTCTCCTGGCTTCGGATTGGTGCAGCACTGGCCATTGCGGTCACTTGGGAAGTGAATCATCGGATGAAAGATTTTCCTCTCTCTCCTCCTCTCTGTATATCCACCTTTCCAATAAAAATAAATCTTAAAAAAAAAAAAGAAGAAGAAGCTTACTAGAATTTTTTCTCAAAGTGTAAAACTTATTTTCATGATTTTATCAATTAGCAAACACATAATATTTGTTTTTAAAGGATTATTTGAGAGGGAGAGCCAGAGAGAGAGATTGCATTGTGGCTCATTCCCCAGATGGCCACAGTGGGCCACAGCTGTGTTGGGCAGAAGCCGGGAACCAAGTTTTTCCCAGATCTCCCACAGTGGCAGGGCAGAGGCACTTGGGCCGTCTTCTGCTGCTGGCCCAGCAAGTTAGCAGCCACGTGTGTGGGGAGCTGGCACAGTGGGGGCAGTGCCACATGTGTCCCTACATGATACTTATCTCTTCGTGTATGTATTCATTCATCTCAGTGTTATCTTTTTTTGATAAATGTGTCCTTAATATAAATCCCTTGGTACGTAGGTTTTCCAGCCCATAGTTTGCCTTGTTCTATGAACAAGTGTGTGCTTCAGTTAAGGAAAGCTTTCCTTTCCTTTTTAACTGATAATAGTGTGTATATCTTATATGAAATCCTTTGGTAAGTTGTATTTTCTTCTGTTAAGTTATTTAGTTTTAGGTCTTATATCCAGACTTAAAATCATTTTAAGTAATTTTTGTATAAAATAGATTGTTCTGAGGGGATTGTATTTTGTATATGAATGAACAGTTGGTGTTTGCCCCATTTGTTGGAGGGCTGCCTCTTCTGCATTGGGCTGTCTTTGCATCTTTGTCGATCTGAATGCTTGGCACAGCAGTTAAGGCACCAGTTGGGACAGCTGCCTGCCGTGTGCGAGTGCCAGGCCAGTGCCAGCTGCCTTGCCTTGGTCCAGCTTCCTTCTCACTACATCCTGGGGGTGGGAGAAGATGCTCCTGTAGCTGGACCCCTCACGTCCACTTGGCAACCCTGGCGCAGTTCTGGTCTTTGGGCTTGCTTCTGACCTAGCCCTGGCCGCCTTGGCATTCCAGTCAGTGCATCTGAACTGTGTGTCTGTGTGTGTGTGCGTGTGTGTGTGTGTGTGTGTGTCCATGGTTAAAACAGATTGAAGTTTTTCTGTTCATAGATTTGTCAGAGGCTAAGCCAAATGAACATATGTTAATTGTGACAAATGCTATATCCTAAATCATTGTTAACGGTCATAGTTTTCTTTTGTTTATTGGTAAAGATAGATTATAATATTGATTTTTTCCCTCCCAACCATTGACTGGACCTTGTATTCCTGGAATACGCCCTGTGTGGTCATAACCACACTCCCCTTTCTGTCTGCTGGTACTCTGTGGAGGCTCTTGTGTCTGTCACGGGTCGTTATGAGAGCTTGTCTCTGGTTTGGGCATTAGATGTGCTGGCCTCAGTAAGTGAATTGGGCAGATTCCCTCCTCTCCTACATTCTGGAAGAAATTATACAAAATTACTCTTATGTGTTTGTAAAATGCTGGTAAAATACACTAATAAAGTCATCTAAACGGTAATTTTGTTTGAAAGAAAACTTTTAACTACAAACTTGTACTTTATAGATACATGCATAATTTTGTGAACTCTGTAATAATAGTCTTTTTTTTTTCCCCAAGATTTATTTATTTTTGACAGAGAAAGAAAAAAAGAGGAAAGAAAGAAAAGTTTCTTTTCTTTTGTTTTGTTTCATTTGTTTTGTAGGAAAGTCAGCTTTACAGAGAGACAGAAACAAAGATCTTCATCCACTGATTCACTCCTCCAGATAGGCTGGAGTTAAGCAGATGCGAAGCCAGGAGCTTCATATGGGTCTCCCATGTGGTTGCAAGGTCCCAGGGCTCTAGGCTGTCCTCCACTGCTTTCCCAGGCCACAAGCAGGTAGCTGGATGGGATGTGGAGCAGTCGGGTCATGAACCAGCACCAGTATGGGATAGAGGATTCGCCAGTTGAGCCATCATGCCATCCCCTGTAGTAAGAGTCTGTTAAGAATTTTGCCCATGTATTGTCAGGTGTGAAATTTTATTTATTTATTTATTTTAATTAATTTCTTTTTATCGCAAAGTCAAATATAGAGAGGAGGGGAGACAGAGAAATAACTTCCGTCTGATGATTCACTGCCCAAGTGACCACAACGGCCAGTGCTGTGCCGATCCGAAGCCGGGACGTTGGTGAGAAGAGAGTTTAGAACAGGCGGCATGAGCTGTAACGTGAGAGCCTTGGGGAGTTCGGTTTTCCACACACAGGCAGCCTAGCGGCAAGCCCACGACCCACATGGGGCCATTCGTAGAATAGAAACAAGCAGTCCTTTTCTCAGCTTGTTTTCTCCAGATCTCCCTGCTTGCCACTCCTCACTTCCCAGGGACTTTGTCCACTTTCTCTGACCAGAGCGCAAGTTTCTCAAGCATTCATCTGCTTGCACTGGCACATGCCTCCCCACAAATACCTGTAACCAGGGCTGGTCTAAGCTGGACTCAGAGCTTGGAGCTCCTTTTCAGCCTTGCATGTGATTGACAGGGACACAGATAGTTGAGTCATTACATACTGCCCCCTAGAACGCATGTTAGCGAAAAACGGGATCAGAGGCAGTGTTCCAAACAGTAGCCCTTTCCTCCGCGCTGTGCGCCTCTGCCTTCACACTGTGCGCCTGTCCCTCTGTGCTGTGCGCCCCTCCCTCTGCAACATTCTTATGGGGCTGTACCATGCACAAGCCTGCAGTCTGGAACTTGTGAGCTTGAGCGTGATGGTCTTTCCTGATCTGGATGCTGGTTGCAGTTTTGTAAATAAGAAACTCAACAGTTTAACAGGTAGTTTCCTTTTCATGTTATACTTCAGTGAGAAGGTATTTTGTTTTTAATGTCTACTAGTTTTGAGTATTAAAAGATAATAAAGCTAAAAGCTGCACAATGTAGGTTATGTTAAAATATATTTTAAGGTTAAAATTATAAAAAACATAGAGGGCTGCTGTTGCCTTACAGTGAGTTAGACCAGTGCTTACAAAACCGGCATCCCATTGCAGAGTGCTGCTACTAGTGCCAGCTGGCAGCTCACACGCATGCACCTGGAAAGTGGAAAATGGCTCAGCTCCTTGGCACCTGCCCACTCCTGTGAGAACAGGATGGAGGTCCTGACTCCGGGCTTTGGCCTGGGGCAACCCAAGCTGTTAGGGGCATTTAGGAGGTGGACCAGTAGGTGGAAGATGTCTCACTTTTCTTTCTTTCCTCTTTTTTTCTTTCTCTGTCACACTTTCAAATAAAGTATGGGAGTTTTGTGTGTTTGCTTTTGTTTTTTAGATTGGTTGATTTCTTTGAATGACGGAGAGGTTTGTTATACAGCCAGTTTCCAGATGGCTTCAGAGTTGGGCTGTACTGAAGCCAGGAGCCAGAAGCTTCATCCAGGTCTCCCTTCCTATTTTCAGTGCCCCAATACTTAAGGCATCCCTTGTTACCTTTCTCAAACCATTACCATGGAGCTGGATAGGAAGTATAGGGGCCAACACATTGACTCAACTGGCTAATCCTCCAACTCCAAGTGCAGCATTCCATGTGGACGCAGGTTTGTGTCCCACCTGCTCTACTTTTTATCCAGCTTCCTGCTTGTGGCCTAGGAAAGCAGTGGAGGACAACCTAGAGCCTTGGGACCCTGCACCCAAGGTGGGAGACCTGGAAGAGCTCCTGGCTCCTGGCTTTGGATCAGCTCAGCTCTGGCTGTTGTGGCCATTTGGGGTGTGAACCAGCGGATGGAAGATCTTGCTGTCTCTCCTTCTTTCTGTAAAATTTGCCTTTCCAACATAAATAAATAAATAAATGAATCTTAAAAAAAAAGATACAGCAGGTGGAACTGAAACCAGAGCCTGAATGGAATGTAGGCATTGCAAGTAGCAGCATTATCCTAGGCCCACACTAGGCCGATCATCTTTTAAAGAGTGCAAAAATGGGACAACAACGACAAAAGCATCAATTCTTAATCATCCAAGGATTTAATCTGATTCTGATTGTATTGTTACGTGGTTATATGAAGCATTGGACTTATTTTTGGTTAAATATATTTCAGCATAGCAGATGAATTATTATCTCTGAAAGGATGGCTGGAAAAGGTTTTCTTTTGTGAGGTTTAAGTGCCTTGTTAAAGAAAGGAGAAGAATTAAAATGTGTTTGAGGCTCATTCTTACCCTCAGAGGAGGAAGTGGAGATACTTCATTCTTTCTTCCTTTCTTGCCAAAAGAATGTTCCCTTCGTGTGGGATATAGAGACAGAATTTCAAGAGAAAAGCATGCCGCTTCGTTGATTATTGTTGTTCTTTAAAACAGTCAAGTCCATCATCTCCAGAACCAGCTAGTCTTCCAGCGGAAGATGTTAGTACAAACTCCAATGGTCCCAGAGCCGCCGAAGCTGTGCTAGACGATGGCAGAGAGGATCTCTTTGCAGGTAACGGTCATGCTTCTGAGTTTTAATAATGCGCAGTAATAGTGTTTATTTTGTTAGAAAATATTCTCTAAGGCAGAATTGAACTTCTTTGAAATTGTGTGTTAAGTACTAGGTGATAACTCTTCTTATAGCAAGCTGAAAGATGGAGGATTTCCAAAAGGAGCATTCCATGAGAAATACAACCCCGACTGAAGCAGAAGTGTGGTCCTTTCTGATTTTAACCACTTGGAACCAAGTCTTAAGATGAAAAAAAAATAGTGATATTAAAATTTTTGAGAAACAATAGTTGTTATATCTAAAATTACTTATAAGTTGTCACAAAGCAAAATTAAACTGTGGATTTTAAAGCTGTCTTTTATTTGAATATATTTCATTGATTGTCATTTACCACCTGGTTCAGTTTGATGACTTTAGGTACTTGAGGAAGTAACTTTTGCTGTAGGGGAGCAGTGCTATAATCGCTCTTAAAGTTGAACTCTCTCAAAAGGAATTATCTGCCTAAAGATTATGATGTTGGGCCCGACTGTGGCCTAGCCGTTAAGGTGCCTGCATGCAGCACTGGCCTGTTGGGAGTCCGTTCTTTGCTTCTGATTCTCCCCTCCTGCGCATGCAGGGCCTACTGGGCCGGAGGGATGGCTCAAGTAAAGGCATTTTTGCCACCCACATGGGTGTCCTGTGCCACTATCCAGACTGGCACTCTGCTAGAGGATACCATCTTCCTAAGCAGTGGCTTAGCCCTCTGTGCCACTGTCTACCCTGCCATTTGTTTTAAGCTAAAAGGTGACCAGGCGCCTTCTCCTTAATAAAAGCAAGTGTGAATCTAAAACAGACCTTGCTGTGGCCAAAGAATTGTGGCTGATGCAGCAGCCAAGAGTAAAAGATACATTTTATGGCTTGTACAGCTAACCAACAGTGGCAAAATGAAGACCATCCATTATTTGCCTGCCTAGCGAAATCAAAAAATAGCGTTTGACTGAGGCAGATAGGTCAATGTCAGTGTTTTTTTGAAGTGACATTAAAGAACGTTGAACATAGTCATCTGTTTCCTTTGTTAAACTACAAATCTTGCCTTTCCGTGCCTAGGCTCCTCTCTTCCACACAGCTGCATTGAGAGATGTGTTAGTGACCTCAGACATAACGTGCATGTTTTATGTGAATGGATGAATGCCACACTTGATTCTTTATTGCAGTGGTTGGTCCTTGGTCCTTCCTTGTGTAGAAAAGTATGATTCTTGAAATTCGTGCAGACACGTGTGTTACCAGGACAGTGAAAATCATTGTCTGATATTGAGAACATGCACTTGATTCTCCCGTAGAAGCAGATAGCATGTAGATATTACTTTAGTAAACTAGTGAGTTCAACTTTAAAACTGATGAGATTAGGTTATGTTTGTGTGTGCTGGTGTGCTTTCCAGTCGTGGATATCATAAACGGCTCCAGAACAGCTTCAACTGTTACATATGTTATAGTTAGTGTCAGCTTACTTAGAAAATATTCAGCATTTATTGTTACCTATGCAGTCCTTTTCCACTGTTTGGGTTTTTCTCCTTTTTAAACTTTTTTTTTAAATACTTACGCTATTTTAATTTGAAAGGCAGAGTCATATAGAGGGAAAGAATGAGAGAGGGTAGGAGATCGTCTATCTGCTGGTTCACCTCACAAATGACCACAATGGCCAGAGCTGGACAGGGCTGAAGCCAGGAAGCAGAAACTTCTGGGTGTCTCCTGTGGGTGCAGAGGCTCAAGGACTTGGGCCCTCCTCTGCGGCTTTCCTAGACCGTTAGCAGGGAGCTGGCTGAGAAGTGCAGCTGCCACGCACTGGCCCTTCCCTGTTGCTTAGTCTGCTCTGATGCCTCACTGAACACACATCAGAAAGCTGTCTCAGGGAGTAGATGATGGTGAACAGAGTTAGCCAGGACTGGCTTTTGCCAGTTACTAAGCTTTTACTTTGTGGCATTCAGCATGTAGTACCAAATAGAAAAGAGCAGTCCCTTGTTTAAAACATTGCTTGGTCCTGGATGAATAAAATGTTACTTATGCGACACTTACATAATCAATTTATATTTGTCCTAGGCATTTATCTCCAAGGAAAAGTTTATAGTTACTAGCTATGGGGCATCTTCCCAAACCCTTAGGTCTCATTTAAAACTTGAAAGAATGAGTATTACGGTGTCGCAGTTAAGCTGCTGCCTGGCGTGCTGTCTCATGTCAGAGTGCTGCTTTGCGTCCTGACGACTGTGCTTTCTGACTTTCTGATGAAGCGCCAGAAGGCTCCTGGCTGTGGCCTGGTCCAGGTCGTTTGGCAGGGAGCCAACAGGTGAAGATATCCTCTCTCTTTCTCTCTCTGTCTTCCACCCCCCACCTTTAAATAAATTCTAAAAACATAAATTTTGTAAATTTGTAGTATGTTAGTTTAATTGAGCTCAAAGAAGACCTGAAAAAATTAAAAAAAAACTAGTATTAATGTATTGATTGTAAATTTCTGTCCTATTTTCAGTTTGTTTCAATATCAACTATTTATGATTTTGAGTTCTTCAATAAATGAAGGAATTTGCACCAACAACACAGAACCTGATATTATTGAAATTAAATGTGATTAAAACGTTTAATTGATTTTATGCTGCCTGTCAGTCAAGTTGCTGTGTTTTCTCTGTTGGTCTTTGAGTCTGTTGCTCATAACTGCATCCTCAAGACTGTTGGAGGTTTGTGTGTGTGTTGCCTTCTGTTGGTGCTTGTCGTTCCGCTTCTTTGTAGATCGCAGATCATAATGCTTAGCTTTGCTATTCCACTCTTTTACTTTCTCATATTTCTTGTTGATTTGATTTCTTTAAGAATAGTGAAGTTCAGCCTGAAGTTGCCCATGAACCTGTAGGTTGTTGTATCTGGGTCTCTCACAGCCCATTTCAGCGTCTGTGGCTCGTTTTCCTTCCTCTGTGCCAGAGGTGGGGAGGTTTTGTTGTTATTTTCACTTTACTGTGAAGAGAGCTGTGCCAGGTGAGCCGCTCAGCATGAGCCAGCTGTTGGCAACAGCGGGTAGTACTTGAGGCGCCTTGTGCCAGTCGTGCTGTGCCTTTTGGAGACAGTAAAGTGAAGGTGGTGCTTGCTGACTGCCTTTGCAGGCTCCTAGGGATGTGCCATCTCAGAACCTGGCTTCCTCCTCAGGGCTGCCTGCCCTTTCCTGGTACTGTTCCTGCCAGCCAGCAGCACGCTGCCGCCCGTCGGAGGCACTGTCATGTTAACTTCCCTGACTGCCTTCTTCTCTGCTGTTACTCCATTCTTGTGGAAGTCTCTGTGTCTTTTCTGCCTGAATGCATCTTTTCAAATGAGTATTGTAATCTGTTCCTTAATTTTTCAAGCCCAAAGTATTATCTTCCATTTTAACTCAGATTTTAGTGTGTTCTGTGGTTTGTATAGTAAATAAATGTCTTGCAGCATTCTTTTTTATTCTCTGAAGTCTGTATTCTCATTTAACATTCCACATGTCTTGTTTTCTCAACTAGATTATAAGCTCCCTGAGGGCAGGTATGATATTTTACATTTCTTTGTGTTTCTCCCTTGCGCTTAGTACAGTGTTAAATAGCCTGTAGAAAATCTGGTTTATTGATTTGGCTTAAATATACTTGATTTTGTATTATTCAAGTGATTGAGCATTTTAAATTAAAACCTAAACACCTGTTTGCTTTGTGTCATATTTGTGTTTTCAACTAATATCCAGTAATCTTTGGCAACGACTTGCTTTAGATTACTAACTTCCTGACTTTTTCACAACTGGTTACAATCCTACTTGGAATAGTTCTGGCAGCCTTCCACTGTCAAATTTGTGTTTGGTAGATAAAAACGATTGTAATGTTAGCCTAAAAAATATTTGGAAGGTAAGTTACTGAAAGTGTAAGATATATTACAAATTCCAACACAGTTGGTGTGTGAAATTATCTTCATCTTTCCTTTTCTCTCAGAATAGATTCTTTCCATTTGTATAGATAATTAAACTTTTAAAAGAATTCTTAATAAAACCAACCAGAGTTTTGTTGGTCTAGAAGTTATGATAAACAACTAGAGGTACAATTCATAGTTTCGTTTTGTAATGATTACTTTATGTGCTGTCTTGCTTTATGTGAGTAGTATGAGGATATTTTCATGATTCGTCATTGTTCGGAACAGTCCAAAATGCTGCCAGTGTTCGTAGCTAACTTGTTGATTCTGTATCTAGAAGCCACAGAAGAAGTGTCTTTGGACAGCCCAGAGCGGGAACCTGTCCTGTCCTCAGAGCCTTCTCCTGCAGTCACTCCCGTCACGCCCACCGCACTCATTGCTCCGAGAATTGAATCCAAGAGCATATCTGCTCCTGTGATCTTCGACAGGTCCAGGGAGGAGGTAGGGGACAGTTGCATTCCGAATCCATGTGTAGCTGGTATCTGGTTACTTTCTTGTTTGTCGTTACTAATCAACACCTCTCAGACATTTTGGGTGAAGAGTGTTGGACTGAAAAAGTTAGGTTCTAGGACTATTTCTTAACACTTTGCCTTCTTTTTTTTTTTTAAGATTTATTTTTTAAATTTTTATTGGAAAGTCAGATATACAGAGAGGAGGAGAGACAGAGAAGAAGATCTTCCGTCCGATGATTCACTCCCCAAGTGACCTCAACGGCCAGTGCTGCGCCAATCCGAAGCCAGGAGCTAGAAGCTCTTCCAGGTCTCCCACATGGGTGCAGGGTCTCAAGGCTTTGGGCCGTCCTTGACTGCTTTCCCAGGCCACAAGTAGGACGCTGGATGGGAAGCGGGGCGGCCAGGATTGGAACTGGCGCCCATATGGAATCCTAGAGCATTCAAGGAGACGACTTTAGCTGCTAGGCCATGGCACCAGGCCCACCCTTTGCCTTCTTAAGCCAAGATGTTTGTCATTTGCGACCTCAGGATAACAGCAGCTTTCACATGCAGCTAATATTGGAGATGTCTTGTTTCTTGTGGCGTTAACTCCTGTTTCCTGATCTTTTAACTGACCTTTGTGCACTTATGCTTGTTAGTAACTAGAGAACTTGTCACGCCAAGGTTGCTTTCTAGTACAGTAACTTCTGCAAGAATTAAAAAAAAAAAAAAACTGCTTAAAATAATGACTTCTTGTTATTGAAGTGGAAAGGACTATAAAAATACTAATATCAAAAGTTACTATGGAGTTCTTTTAATCTAAATCCTAAGATTAAGTATTAGAGAAAATTTGCTAAGAATCATTCAGCACCCATAACATTTTTTTATAGATCTGAAGAGCTGCGAGAATACAAAATTTTCTATTACTTTACAAGAAGATCATTATTCTGTTGTCTTTATGTAACTTTTTTTTTTTTAATACTTGGAAAATATGAGTTTTTGCTATTTTTTTCACAACTAGATACTAATTTTTAAAATTATATTGTGAAAGTTATCGATAGGAGATAGTAAATCATAATTACTAGTGTTATGACAGTAATATAAATTGGAATCTTCCCTAAAATAAAAATAATTGCATTCTTCCAGATTGAAGAAGAAACAAATGGGGATATTTTTGATATAGAAATTGGTGTATCAGATCCAGAGAAAGTTGGTGAGTCCTATTTATTGTGCTTTGTACTTTTTAAAAATAGGTTTGTGTGCTGTTTTTCTCTGTGTAACATGTGGATTCTAATGACATGTAACTTCTCTGGTAGGTGACGGCATGAATGCTTACATGGCTTACAGAGTAACAACAAAGGTGAGCGTTTGTTCCCTTCCTGACTCTGATAGAGGCTGTGGGGACGTTTCAGCCGAAGTCAGCACTCCCTTTCTGGAGGGTACCACCACATCATCCTGTGGGAGTGCTCAGCAGGGGACTTAACCTAGACCGGAAGAGCCCCAAAGAGCTGCCGGGGACAGTAGTGTCAGGACCAAGGGAATGTGGTTAGGAAAAGATAGGAAATCTGGAGAACAGTGTGAAGCCAGGGGTTCACGTGTGTAAAGTCACTGGTCAGTAAGCTCTTTGCTTTCTGGGGTCTCTTGAGAAGTGGTGTGGACAGAACTGCTGGGCAGCGGTGTGGGAATGTGTCGTGAGCAGCCACACTGAGGGCCTGGGGGTTTTGTAGTTACAGGAGAGAGCCATTGGGTTCGCACAAGGCTGTGAGACAGTTGAGAGTTTATTTTAGGAAGATTGGGAGTGGAGGTCAGGATTTCTAGTTAAGATGCCACTGTGAGGTCAGAAGGCTTGTAGACCCTCTGCTCTGCAGAGTCCAGAGAAGCAGCCCTGCTGTGGGATGTCAGGCCTTATGCCAAGAAAGGACAATCAATGAATGTCAATCAAGAATGTAAAGAAAACACTTTCTATTTTCCTAAGTTTTTGTTTTTTAAAAAATCTGATTTAAAGTTTCTTACTGATTGGATATTTGCACATAACATTAGACGCTGCCGTTATATTTGCAGAGTAGACTGCTGGTATGTATGCAAGTTTTATGTTTACAGTTTCATCTAATGGTATCTTCTAAATCATAGCTTCTGCACAGAATCTGAAATACTTTTTCTTCGTTTGTAGACTTCTCTTTCCATGTTCAGTAAGAGTGAATTTTCAGTTAAAAGAAGATTCAGTGACTTTCTTGGTTTGCACAGCAAATTAGCAAGCAAATATTTGCATGTTGGTTACATTGTGCCACCAGCTCCGGAAAAGAGTATAGTAGGTAAGCATGAATTTAAAAATGAGTTTTTGTTACTCCTGTTTAACCATAATCCTTCACTGTTGACATCTCATAATGTCTAGAGTCACTGAACTTAAATATTCCATTCATAATAATCGTGTGCTGAAGAGTATGTAGTTAATAGGTTGATTTTTTTTGACATCTAAGGTTATAATACAACAAGGTTAAGTAATGGTGGAAAGTTTACCAAATCTAAAGCCTTTGGAAATCCTAAACTTTTAGCATCATTGGAATACCTTTTTAATGAATCACACTAAGAAGATACCAACTTTTTTTTTCTTTCTTTGATTTCGCTTTATTTGAAGCAGATCTGCAGGTTCACTCCTCAGATGCCCAGAGTCACGGCCAGGACAGGCAGACGTCAGGAGCTAGTTAATCGGGGTGGGTTGTCAGGAATCCCGGGATTTGTGCCAACGTCTGCTATTTTCCGGGCTGTGTGTTAGCAGGAAGCGATCCGAAGTGGAGCTTAAACTCAAAGCAGACACCCCAGTACGTGATGAAAAGGATCCCTTACTGCCTAATGTCCAAAAAGAAAATTTAGTCTTTCTCTGCTCTTATAAGAACTGCTTGAAATCACCTTAGTTTATTTTCTACATCAGTGTAATGTTTAAAACAAATAGGAAGCTGGATTGGAAATGAAGCATCTGGAAGTGGCACCTGTGTGGATGTTGGCATCACAGGCAGTAGCTTAATCTGTAACTGCATTTATTTGCAGTGCAGAATTAGAGGGAGAGAGAGAGCTTTGATCTACTGGTTCACTCCCCAAATGGTCTCAGTGGCCAAGACAGGTCCAGGCCAAAGCTGAGAACCAGACTCTGTCTGGTCTCCCCGGGACAGGTGCCAAGCCCCGCCTTCCCAGACATGGTAGGAGGGGGTAAGACCGAAGATTTTTTTTTTTCTCCTGGGAAACTGTATGTGTAATAATTGACATGCCGGCAGTATTTGGTGATTCAGTTTAGACAATTTTAGGTATCTAAAATGTCTTGATGGATTTTGTTGAATCAAGCATTAGTAGCTGTTATGTATTTATGCAATCCACTTATACAAACTTTATTGGGATATAATGCACTCACTTGAAGCATAACTTCAACAGTTTTTTTTCTCTTTAGAATTCAATATACATTACTACAATCAATATACATTGTTCTTGTTACTCTAAAAAGGGACACAGTGGGTTGGCGTATCAGGTACAGCTACAACCTGTGGTACCTGTGTGCCATGTTGCCCCTGGTTTGTATCTCAGCTGCTCCCTTGCTAAAGGTCTGGGAAAAGCAGCAGACAGTGTCTCAGTAACTTGGAGACCCCTGTTACCTATGTGGGAGACCCAGCTGGAACGCCTGGCTTTTGCCTGCGTCAGCTGTTGCCATTGCAGCCACCTGAGAATCGAACCTGCAGGCGCAGGGAAGTCAGGGCAGCAGGGGGCTGATAGTGTGCAACTCTTGGCTTCACGCCCAGACCCCACCTCCGGCCTTTAAGTTGGCCTGGGTGTGTGTTCTCTTATTTTTTTGTTTTGCTGTCCTTTTGTTTTTTTTTTTTATCTTTTCTCTTTTTTGTTTTTTTTCGTTTTGCAACTCTTCGCGAGTCAAACGTGCCTTGTTTTTTTTTTTCTTCAAGCAAAACGGAGGGGGTAGTAGGGGGCCTCACAGTGCCCTTGGCCCTCACCCCTGGTTGTCCTCTAGTTCACACATCCCTTCCAGCCGCAGGCCATCACTAACTTTTTTCTCCCTGGATCTGTCTGTTCTGGACAGCTAATGAGTAAGGATCATGCGTGGTCCTTTGAGGCTAGTTTCTTAGCAGCAGGTTTTCAAGTTACTTCTTGCTGTAGCTTGTGTCAATACTTCATTTCACAGAATACATTCTGAAAAGAAATGTGAGGATGATGAAAATGTTCATTGAAGTTAAATTTGCTAATTTGGAATTCAGTTATCCATATTGAGCTGTAAACAGAATATATCAGGAATGTAAAATGTAAGCAACAACAAATAAGCTTTTACAGAAGCAAGGAGTACATTCCAAACACACTTTGAGTTTCTGCCTCATCTGTACTCTCATGTTTTAAGTATGTACCAGGTTGACATGCTAACATATCATGAGATTTAATTGCTCAAAAGGTTCTGTTTTAGTTGGATATCAGCTCAAAATTTAGGAGGTTTTTGGTTTGTTTGTTTTTGCCAATTTCAAAATGTATTTTGAATTACGAAGAAATGTTCTTCAAGGCTATTTACATATGTTAGGTACGTAAGATGTCATCCAATTTCTTCAAAGGTATGACCAAGGTCAAAGTGGGTAAAGAAGATTCATCATCCACCGAGTTTGTTGAGAAACGGAGAGCAGCTCTGGAAAGGTAATGCTGGCTGCCAGACTTCACTGCGCGCCAATAGTTGCTTTTAACTTTTATTTTCTTCTGGCCTAAAATCAGTAGTTGTGTTGGGTAGAAAAGGTTTGGGGAAATTATGTGTATCTCAATGGCACATGTTTTTTTTAACACTCAGACAGCTTATTTCTTGTCTTAGCACTGAATTGTTTGTATTTTAAGGAAGTGTCAACAGTAAAGTCAGCTTTGGACAAGTGCAGTAACAAAGCCTATAGAATTTGCAGCTGAAAAGAAATCTCCCACTAGAAGCAATTGAACAGGTTGTGACTGTAGGACTGAGACGTTGCCCAGTCAAGGACGTAAGTTATGTCAAGACCATTGTAGGGTAGGCGTTAGATTGGGTCTTGTTGCATGAGCAGTCAGCCACGGGATATTTTGAAGGATAAAAATAGACACTACTCTGCCTTGGCTTCACTTAGTCCTTCCTGGCTGAGCAACTTGCACAGAGCTTTCAAATCTTGGTTTTCTCTGAGTAAATCTGAAGTATTTCAAGTGACATGCTTGCTGAGAAACTTGATGAAGATTGATTGTACCAAGGACACGTCATCTGATTCCGCCTTAGCTTCTGCCCGCACTGCATCACCGAGTGCTTCCTATAGAGTCTTACAGTGCGAAAGAGAGTTAAGGGACTATGTTGGCGCTTGATCTACTGTGTATGTGTGAATAATCTTGTTTTTACTAAAAAATGTCACTTGTGAAATGCTAGCTTAGTGGAATTTTCAGTACTAAAAAACTAATATGAAGGAGAAGTTCATTTTCAATTAGAAAAAAAATGACTAAAAATGTTGACATAAAGGTTTAGAAAGAGAAGAGCTACAATAAATTATTTAGTTTTTCTGTAATTCCTTTTCTCCAATTTTGGCTAGTTTTAGTTTCTGTGCATATTGTTTTTTTTTTTAAGATTTATTTTATTTTTATTGGAAAGGCAGATATACAGAGAGGAACAGAGGCAGAGAAAGATCTTCTGCCTGATGATTCACTCCCCAAGTGACCGAAACAACCGGTGCTGCACCGATCTAAAACCAGGAGCCAGGAGCCTCCTCCAGGTCTCCCACGTGAGTGCAGGGTCCCAAGGCTTTGGGCCGTCCTCCACTGCCCTCCCAGGTCACAAGCAGGGAGCTGGATGGGAAGTGGAGCTGCCAGGATTAGAACCGGTGCCCATATAGGATCCCAGCTCGCTCAAGGCGAGGACTTCAGCCGCTAGGCAACACCGCACCAGGCCCCCGTGCATATTTTTAATATAATCTTAAAAGTGTGTATTTCTTAGTTTAAAGCTGTGTGTCCCTTACCCTTCCATACAGCCAACGTTTCTAAAGTTCTTTTTCTATGGCGTTCGTATCTATTTGAGTATCAGGACAGGCCTGTCTGTAGGTCCCAAACCCGGCTGGATCTGTGGCTCGGGGAAGTGGCCGCCTATGAATTTACTGATGCTGGGATTCTCATTTATGTGTTCATTTACATGTTTGTTCAGCTTAGAGATTCCAAATGCTGATCCTTTTTTATGACTTTGTAATTCATTCATAATTTTTTTTAGATTTATTTTTATGGGAAAGTCAAATATACAGAGAGAAGAGACAGAGAGGAAGATCTTCTGTCCACTGATTCATTCCCCAGGTGGGCACAAAGCCGGAGCTGCGCCGATCTGAAGCCAGGAGCCTCTTCCAGATTTCCATGTGAGCACAGGTCTCCAGATTTGGGGCCATCCTCAACTGCTTTACCGCAGGGCTGCCAGGACACAAACCCACACCCATATGGGATCCCGGTGCATGCAAAGCAAGGGCTTTAGGTGCTAGGCTACGGCACTGGGCCCCCAAATGCTGAACTTAAATGAAATGCTAAATATCTGCTATAAAAACTAGGAAGAGAAAGGAAGTCATCCAGTGCTCTGGTGCCCCATGCTCCATTCGGTGTGAGGTCAGCCGCACTGCTTCCAGGGGAGAAGCCAAGAGGGCTTGTGGTTGTCTTAGCACTTGACGTCTTCTGCTGAGATAATACTGATATGTCTTATACGCACGTGTGCACTCTGCAGGTATAAACCAGTATAAACCAGTATAAACCAGGAAACGTAGAGGACCATAATGACAGTGTACGAGACTGAAAATCCCAGGCCCGGCGCGGTAGCATAGTGGCTGAAGTCATTGCCTTGTACCAACCAGGATCCCATGAGGGCTTAGGTTTGAGTCCCAGCAGCCCTACTTCCCATCCAGCTCCCTGCTTGTGGCCTGGGAAAGCAGTTGAGGACGGCCAAAAGCCTTGGCACCCTGCACCCGCGTGGGAGATCCGGAAGAGGCTCCTGGTTCCTGGCTCTGGATTAGTGCAGCTCTGGCCATTGCGGCTGCTTGGGGAGTGAATCATTGGATGGAAGATCTTTCTCTCTGTCTCCTCCTCTTTATGTCTGACTTTCCAATAAAAATACATAAGTTTTTTAAAAAAAGATTTAGAATCTCTTTGAAGTTGAAACCTGCAGTGCGTGTGCATTGAGTTGTGTAACAGTGAACAGGCTACTTAAATGACTCTTATCTCTGAAGTGTGTCACAATCCTGATTGTGTCAGGATTGGGCTTGTGACAGACATATAAAAATCCAGATGATGGGCCTAAATATTTAAGCTAGATTTCACATTAAGGAGTTTGGAGGGCCTGGGATGATAGCATAGTGGTTAAAGTCCTCACCTTGAATGCACCAGGATCCCATATGGGCACTGGTTCTAATCCCGGTGGCCCCGCTTCCCATCCAGCTCCCTGCTTGTGGCCTGGGAAGGCGGTCGAGGACGGCCCAATGCCTTGGGATCCTGCGCCTACATGGGAGACATGGAAGAGCTTCTGGCTCCTGGCTTCGAATCTGCTCAGCTTCAGTGGTTGTGGTCACTTGGGGAGTGAACCATCGGACGGAAGATCTTCCTCTCTGTCTCTGTTTCTCTCTGTATATCTGCCTTTCCAATAAAAATAAATCTTTAAAAACAAAAACAAAAAAGAAGTTTGGAGGCAAGGAGCAGTTCTAGGTGATTTAATTTGTCCAACAAGCTTTTTGCCTTACATTAAGTCTAGTGAATGCTAGTGAGTCCATAGGGCCCTTCTTTTCTACAGTAGCAACCTAATTGGCCTCCCTGTCTTCATGTTTAACACCTTTCTCTCTCTGTGTCTCTGTCTCTCTCTCTCTCTGATAGATTTTACAGAGAGAAAGATCTTCCATTGGCTGGTTTACTCCCCGAAAGGCCTCAATGACCAGAGCTGATCACATCGAAAGCTTTAGAGCCAAGAGCTTCCTCCAGGTCTCCCAAGCAGGTGCAGGGTCCCAAAGACCTGGGCCTTCCTCCACTGCTTTCAGGCTGTTAACAGGGAGCTGGATCAAAAGTGCAACAAACACAAACACAAACACTGGCGCCTGTATGGGATGCCAGTGCTACAGCAGATTAACCTACACTGCCACACCAGCCCTCTCACTGTCTCTATTCCAGTCCCCACTCTGCTGCCCCTCCCATGCTGGTCCCATCCCTCTCGGTGCCAGCCCTCGCTCTTTCCACACTGCTTCCCCTCGTTCTGGATGCCGGCCCTCTCGCTCTCTTTCTGCGGTGCCCTCTCTCTCTCTGTGCCGACCCTCTCCCTTTCTACTTGGCGCTTCCTCACTCTGAGTATCAGTTATCCTTGTAGGACAACAATCCAGTTGTTCTTTCTGCTCAGTTCACTCAGTAGAAGTCAAGTCCTTATCATGGACGGTGCTCTGCGTTTGCATCATTCTTAAATGTTGACTCTCATTTTCCAGACTGCTTCTGCTGCTCTGAGGCCACCGTGACCTGCTTCTCACACTCTCTGGCATTTTCCAGCCTTAAAATCTTTCCCCTGCCTCATCCTCTGTCTAGAATACCTGTCCCCACATACCTGCGTGGCTGGCTCCCCGTTTGTTCCAAGTTAACTTTGTGTGTCACCTTAACACTACAGCCTGTTCTAAGCACTGGTGCCATTCTGCCTTACAGTATTTAAATTGCCACCAACTAGGTGTCACTTGTGATACCAGCATCCCGTATGGGTACTGGTTCAAGACTAGGCTGCTGTATTTCCACTCCAGCTCCCTGCTCATGTGCATAGAAAAGCAACGGAAGAGGCCCTCACTCTTTGAGCCCATGTGTCCACTTGGGATACCTGGAAGAAGCTCCAGGCTCCAGCTCTGGCCTGGCACAGCCGTAACCATTGACGCCATTTGCCAAGTGAAGCAGCAGATGGAAGAACGGTCTCTCTTTCCCTGTGCTTCTCTAACTTTGCCTTTCAAGTAAATTAAATTTAAATCTTCACTTGCTATACATGATTGACCCAAGCTGTGCCAGCGAAGGGAATCTTGGTCTGTTTTGCTCACTCATGTATTCCAGTTCACAGTCCCTGACAGGTGGACAGTGCTCGGTGATGATTGCTGGATGCTGCTCGGTACCCAGAGTCCACTTTTGCATCCGTTCATTATCAGCACTTACAGCTGAGTTCTAAGCCGACACTGTTTCCGTGTTTGTTGCTGTCGGGTCTAGATGCTGGAAAGCCCTCTGTGATTCTTTTGTCATCACAAGCCTTTGCTTGGAGCAAATCTGAAAAACAGCTCTGAGCGTGTCTTGCAGGGTCTAGTCACTGCGTTTGTGTGTTCCCTCAGTGGGTCTTTGCTTGCACCTCTTTCCACATGTTCTTTTATACAATCTTATTATTTTTTCTATAATTTTTTTACCCGTAAACTTCTGATCTTAATTTTTCTCTCATATGCATATGTATATTTAGATATTTTGATATTCTGACATAGTAATATGCTGTGCATTAATATAATCTTTGTTTTTAAATCATTTTGTAATTGCTAGTTTAATTTTAACAAGTGAACTTTAATAAGTTTATAGAAAAGTTGAATTAAAAGAAACATTGAAGGGCTATGCTGTGGCTTTGTGTGTTAAGCCACCACCTGTAATGGCAGCATTTCCTGTGGGCAGCAGTTCCACTTCCACGCCAGGCTGCTCCACTTCTGTTCTGGCTTCCTGCTAATGTCCCTGAGAAGATCTGGGCCCCTGCACTGGTGTGGGAAGCCAGGCCCCGCCTGGGCTGCTGTGGCCATTTGGGGAGTGAACCAGCAGATGGAAGATCTCTTTATTTTACTTTGTCATGGCAATTCTGCCTTTCAGATAAATAAATTATGTACACCCTTTTTAAAAATTTAAAAAAACAAAAAGTTGATTTCACCGGAAAAATGATCATGAAATTCATGTGTTGTTGCTCATAAGATGTGTTTTCCGGGAATTGTTTGAAGACTGCTTCCATGTGTGCTTTTTTGCTTGCATGTGTGTGTATACAGGCACTTTATCTTATCTTTGCATATTTGATTAGGGCACAAAGGGTCAGGGCTACAGGAAAGTAGTAAGACCGTTGTTTGCCCATTCTTTCTATCTCTCTCTTTATGTCTCTCTCTTTTTTTGTATCTGGGGTAAGGGAAGAGGTAAAGGGAGAAGGTCCACCCAGCCTCCCACCCATCCCAGGGTCCCTGATGTGGGGCATGCTCCAAGGGTCCTGCTTGAGTAATTTTGATAGTCCTACAGTTCTGAATTGCCGCCAGTCTTGCCATTCCAAGCACGATGAAATCTCTCCAGAATCCACTGGCTGACATAGTCCACTTTAGAGTCTCCATTTGCCCAGATTTTCACTGCCAGCGCTTGGCTGGAGTAGTTGATTGGTTTGTTCTGTTCTCCGTCCTCTGTTGTGGTACCAGGTGTCCTCTGCAGGTTCCTATGGTCTGCCATATCCTCCCTGTGCATCTGGATATGCTGTCCACTGCTCCATCTGAGCCTCTGAGGGGGCTCGGCTTTGACACATGCACTCCGTGGTCAGGCCATGGAACCTGCACTTCTCTTCATGGTTGGGGTTCTGAGTCCAGCAGTTTGATTGGGGAGGAATCCCTTCATCTGAAGTGATCATCTCTTCATCTGAAATGATCCCAGACCTGATTCTTGGGTGTGCGTGCCAGGACAGGGTCCAGCACAGTCTGTCACCCCAATCAGCTTGTGCACATGCTGGTGGCTGCAATTGCTGGGTCAGTTCTGTTTCCAGCCCTGTCTTCCACGTGAACCAATGGGTGTAGCTATTCCTAAAATAGCATTTGTCAAAACTGATTAATCAGAATCTTAATATGCTGTAGACTGATAGAAGAGGCCTATAGTAAACTGAATTTCATAAACAAAGGGTTCAGTCATATTCAAGCAAGCTTGTTTCTTGTGGAACTACATTAGCTCCCTTGAGTATGAATCAGGTTTTCTTTTTTTAATATACTGTTAGATGAATATTGTATATAAAGCACTTTGAAAGTCTGTTTTATGATTTTTAAACTGTAGTGTGTATTTTTGTTTTTAATTTGTTGGAATACATTTTAACATAAACTAATAACTAGTTTTACTCTGAAATAGGTATCTTCAGAGAACAGTGAAACACCCAACATTGCTGCAGGATCCTGATTTAAGACAATTCTTGGAAAGTTCAGAGGTATTATTTTCAATTTAATTTTTGTATGTAAATGTTTTTATTATTTGTGTTTATCATTGCAATACTTTATATGAGAATGATTATTCAGTGAATCGTTGCATTAATACATGGAATTTAATACGGATTTTAAGATGTGTTTTTGCCTTTTATTTTTATTCCTTCACTAAATTATTAGCAGATTGCCTTTTTCATGTTGGTATTTGCAGAATAATCTATTTGTTCCTAAATCTTTAGTATCTGATGAGATGTGTGGTTTATTGTTTACTTTTGAACACCGTTTACTTGTGGCTTGGACATCGTAGTTGAATAAGTTTAGTCAGACTTCCTTTCCGAGAGCGTGAGTGTGGGGAGGATATTTGGAAGAGTAGTTAAGATACCACTTAACATGCTGGCGTTGTGGCACAGTAGGTTAGGCGGCCAACAGCAGCATCCATCTGTCAGCATTCCATTTAGACATTGGTTCAAATCCCAGCTGCTCCATTTCCAGTATAGCTGGCTGCTGTGGGAAGCCAGTGGAAGCTGATCCATGCACATGAGCCCCTGTACCCATATGGGAGACCCAGATTGAACTCCTGAAGCCTGGATTCAGCCATTTGAGTGAACCAGGGGTGGAAGGTCTTTTTCTGTCTCCCTCCTCCTGGCCCCCCTGCTTTCTCTAGCTCTCTGTTAAATAAGGAGATAAACCTTGGTGGGAGCAGGTTGGGGTTAAGATGACCACACGTGGTTGCCTCCCATATCAAGACTGTGAATTTAACTCTTGCCTTCCTTCCGCCTCCGTCTCCTGCCAAGCACACCTGGGAGCAGCAGGTGTGTTCTCAAGTGTTGGGTACCTGCCTAGCACACAGGAGGCCTGGAGTGAGCTCTGGGTCCCTGGCTTTGGCTTCGCCCATCTCGGCTGCTATAGAAACCCAGGTGTAAATCTGCCGGCTCTGGCTTCTCTGCCCTCCCTCTGCCCCCTCCACTTCCGGTGTTATCATCTCCTCTCCCTCCCCCTTCCCATCTGTCCTTCTCTCTCTCTCTTTCCCTCTGTCCCTGACCCCTCTCCTCCTCTCCCTTTCTCCTTCTGTCCCCACCTCTCTCTCTCTCTTTCTCCCTCTCTCCCTCTCTCTCTCCCTTTATCTCTCCCTCCCCCCTCCCCCCCTCTCTCCCTCTCTCTCTCTCCCCATCCCCTTCCTCTCCCTAACACATCAGCCAAAGTACTGTAGACCACACTCCGTGCAGTGTTCCAGCATGCTCATGACAGTTATGGCTTGGGCTCTTGCCGGTAACAGTGCCGTGAATAACTATGCCTGTGCTTACCATTTTGAGACTTCTAAACTGTGCTTCTTAGCTGCTTTTTCATAATGTCTGGGCCTAGTACAATTATTTGGGGAGAGAATGTATCCCAGTCAACCTTAATGATACATAGTAATTCCTGGATTTCAGCAGTCTGACTTATTTTTTTTTTTTAAGATTTATTTTATTTTCATTACAAAGTCAGATATACAGAGAGGAGGAGAGACAGAGAGGAAGATCTTCCATCCGATGATTCACTCCCCAAGCAGCTGCAACGGCCGGTGCTGCACCAATCCAAAACTAGGAGCCAGGAACCTCCTCCAGGTCTCCCACACGGGTGCAGGGTTCCAAGGCTTTGGGCTGTCCTCGACTGCTTTCCCAGGCCACAAGCAGGGAGCTGGATGGGAAGTGGAGCCGCCCAGATTAGAATCAGTGCCCCTATGGGATCCTGGCATGCTAAAGGTGAGGACCTTAGCTGCTAGGCAATGGCGCCGGACCCAATCTAACTTATTTTTACCACCATCACTCCTAGCCCCAGTTACTTGAAAAGCTGTATCCTTGCTGTTGTGTCTTTCTCACCATAGTTGGATTCAGTTAGCAAGTGCGGAGATGGCACTGTGGCATAGCTGTTTAAGCAGTTGTCTGCAAGGCCAGCGTCCCATATGGGTACTGATTCAAGTCCTGCCTGTTGTGCTTCTGATCCAGCTCCCCATTCGTGTGCTGGGAAGGGCAGAGAGTGGCCCCAGTGCTTGGCACCCGCACCCACATGGGGTCCCCAAAGAAGCTCCTGGCTCCTGAATTTTTAGGCAGTTCAAGTTCTGGCAGTTGTGGCCATTTGGGGAGTGAACCTGAGAATGAAAGCATGCAGTCTCTACCTGTTTTTTTTCTCTGATCTTTCTCACATAAAACTACATTTCAAATGAATTTATATGTGTATATATGTACATATTCATATATATATTTACATGTATGTTACACACATATCCAATATATTTATATCTGTATAAATTTATATACATATGCTCTATAAAGCATATATTACATATATAAATATGTGGAATATATGTATGTTTATATATTTATATTTGCATATAAGTGTATATTTGTTACTGTTTTAGAATCAAGAGGTCAGGGAAGGGCAGTGGAATAGATGGCAGCCATAAGGTAGCATTTGGGCTCACAGAGCTTCAAAAACCAGTGGATGGGAGGAAGTGCATTTAAGAAAAGTTTTAATTATTATTGCTTAAAATCTTCGAAAAGCTTAACAAGATGAACACGTCCCACGTAGGAGTGGTTGGCTTCAGAGCTTGCCTCTGGCTCCAGACGGCGGCTTCTAGACCTGGAGAGGCAGCCCTGCGCCCGCCCGTAACTGGGCCGAATCCAGGGGAGGGCTGCACGGAGTTCTCCATCCTGGCTTCGTCCCTCCAGTCCTGGCTGTGGCCGCTGTCTGCAGAGTGACCAGCATCCAGGAATCCACTCGCTCACTTGCTCTCTGCTTCTAAAATGAGATACAAATTTTAAAACTGTATTAGAGTGTCAGAATTTCTTAAAAACTCAAAGTCACATAGTTGTTAACTGGGTATAAGATTTTTCTTGGGACTTTCTTTCCTTATAAATGGTTTATTTCTGCTACCAAACAGGTGGCCACTGTTAGAGTGCTAGGCAATTTCTTAATATACTGTGACAAATGGCGTTTGTTCCATCTAAATGTAAACGTGCAGAAGAGCAGCAAATGGAAAGTCTATTTTTTAAGTTTTCCTTTGAGAATGTACAAGTAGTGTATGTGAGAAATTACATCTCACTGTTGAAATGTATGAGAGTGAAGAAAATAAAGCTTCCCCTTTTTTTTCTTTTTTTCTTTTATTTTGGGGGAAGTGGGAGTCTCTTTTGTGCCCAGTTAAACCTCCAGGCTTTTAACCGGTTTGTTTGCCCTTATTTGTCATTCAATTCCAGCTGCCGCGAGCAGTTAATACCCAGGCTCTGAGTGGGGCAGGAATATTGAGGATGGTGACCAAGGCTGCCGACGCTGTCAACAAGATGACCATCAAGATGAATGAATCGGATGCAGTAAGGGCTGATTTCTCGACTTGAATAATGAGATGAATTAATGAGCCCAACAATTGCATTTTAAAGCTGTACAAGTAGAAAATAGGATATTAATTTGCTTATTGAGTGTGTAGTTCTCAGGCACATCAGTTGACCACTGTGGTTATACATGGTTACTTTGTTGCTTTAAAATAAAGAGTATAGCTCTCTGTTGGTGACCTAATTTACAATGGTTTGTTCTTCCTAAATTAGCTCCATTTTTCTTTTTCTTTCTTTTTTTTTTTTTCTCTCTCTCTCTCTCTTAGTGGTTTGAAGAAAAGCAGCAGCAGTTTGAGAATCTGGATCAGCAACTTAGGAAACTTCACGCCAGTGTCGAAGCCTTGGTCTGCCACAGGAAAGGTTGTGTGCCACACTCTTCCAGGAATCGGCTCCATTAAAGCTCATTATTTTGTTTAAAGTTTACTGGACAGCTTATTTTGAAGTTGTTGCAGAAGAGAAAGAGCAGTAGTAGTAGCATAGTTAAGAGAATATTTTCATTGTTTAAAGTTTTGTTTGATTTTGATCTGACATCTGCTTCAGAAGTGGAAAGCCCTAAGCTAATACGATTTTTGAATTTTGAATTAATCTGTTGTTGCCTGGCTGCTCTGGATGAAGATGTGTCTTTGTAAGTAACTATGATCTTTTAAAAAGCAGTGGATTCGAAAGGTGATACTTAAATATTCTCTTAAATATAATTGTCTTGTAATGCTATTTCTGGGAAAGCCATTTAAGGTACTTTCTTTGTTTTCAAACCATAGAGGTTCGAAATTATAGTGTTGGTAAAAATTCATCCAAAAAAGATGAATGCTTTATTTCTGAAGAAGCAAAAACATTTAGTATCAGTTTTCCAAAATATTTAACAAGTTAGTGTATGACATACTGGCAGTAAGTTTCATTAAGGTTGTTACAGAAGCCTGCTAATGCGTTTACCTGAAAGTGGTTGGGAGCAGCTTGTGCCACTAGTATCCTGCATGTCTTAGGGAGGGACTCAACTCTGGATTTTTTGTGGAGCTTTATATATTATCTGAGAACAACAGAGCAGATTCTGGGCTGTGTGCAGCATCAGCCTCTGACCAGCTGTTTTCTCTGTGAAATATCTAAAACAGTCATGCGCAAAATCTGAGGAATTCTGCTGTCTTACTAAGCCTTGTTGCAGAACAGAAAAAATCAGGCTGAGATCCGTGTACTTTGCTGCTCTTTGGCTAACAGTATTTTCATTAGCAGTCCCACTGCTTTCCCTGCCAAACGTTTAAGGCCCAAGAACATAGTGTCTAAATCTGCTCTGAGTGTCCAGAGCGTGTCTCATATGAAAAGTGTGTTGTCCTTTTAAGAAATGGATATGGGCACCGGTTCTAATCCCGGCAGCCCCGCTTCCCATCCAGCTCCCTGCCTGTGGCCCGGGAAAGCAGTCGAGGATGGCCCAAAGCTTTGGGACCCTGCACCCGCCCAGGAGAGGCTCCTGGCTTCAGATTGGCTCAGCTCCAGCCGTTGCAGCCACCTGGGGAGTGAATCATCGGACGGAAGATCTTCCTCTCTGTCTCTCTTCTCTGTATATCCACCTTTCCAATAAAAAAATAAAATAAAATAAATCTTAAAAAAAAAAAAAAGAAATGGGTAGAGAAAGGAGGAGTCTCTTTGGCGGAGAGAAAGGCCTAGAATATTACGTTAGTCCTCTAGCTATGGTTCATCCCCTGAGAATACAGACAGTGGTTCTTCTAGTGTCCAGTAGAACTAGTTGCATTTATGCCCCAGGCATTTTAGTCATTAATTGTCTCATATTATTGTGAATAGATAACATTTTTAGAGAAAGTTGAAAAATGAGTGGGGCATTTTATAATTTGGTTAGTGAATACTAAAAGTGAATGCTTTGTTATTTCAGAACTTTCAGCCAACACAGCTGCATTTGCTAAAAGTGCTGCCATGTTGGGTAATTCTGAGGACCACACCGCTTTGTCGAGGGCCTTGTCTCAGCTGGCCGAGGTGGAGGAGAAGATCGACCAGTTACACCAGGAGCAGGCGTGTGCCGACTTCTACATGTTGTCAGAACTGCTCAGTGACTACATCCGCCTGGTTGCTGCAGTGAAGGCAAGCCCCCTTTGCATTCTTCTCACTGGAGTGCTTGGCTTTCAGCAGGCTGCTTTCCAATTAGGCATCTATTTAAATACATAGAAGTGTGTAAGTCCTATCCTAATGCATATCAAATAGCTTCAAGACAAGCATTTTCTTGTCTTCACCTTTTCTTCCACTGTGACATTCATTGCTATTACATACAGAATTCATGTTTTGATCTTGAAATCTGAGGAAAACTAAGAGAGAGAGCAGTAAGAATTTAGTGGATTTCCTTACACAGATGTTCAATAACCTGAGAACATTTGTTGGCTTATTCTGGCCCTATCACAAACTACCTCTGGATTCTTTGTGTAAGTAGAGCTGACTGGGAAGCAGCAGCGATGTTGCCAGGGGTGTGTGTTTTGGTGCCTGAGTGTGTCTGGGTTGTGTTCAGACCTGTGTGTGCTCAGTGTGCAGTCGCTGGCAGAGACACAGGTCAGGAAGTTGCCATCTCAGGGTAGTTCTAACTGCTGAGTGATTGGGAGGGTAATCCAAATGAAAACTAGAATCTACGAATGCCTCCAAAATTCACACAGCTAAACTGATTTGAGTGTTACTCAGAGAAGGGAGGACTGTTTGCTCTTTACATCGAATCCAAACACTGCAACACTAATAAGTGTTTGTTCCTTGCTTTCCTGTGCAGTTTCTTTCAGCCAGTGTCTGTGATCAGTAGTTTTTATCTGCACTGAAAATTTTGATACATTGCATGTCTAATGACGATTCTGTCCTCGGGAGAACAGAGAGAGTGTTAAACACTTCCTAAAGGTGTCTCCTTAGATCCGATGAAATCAGATGCACGTTTTCCTCTCTTTACTGACACTTTCTCTTCCTCTGGTGATTACTGTTTTTTGTGTTTTGGTTTTTTCCCAGTTAGACATGTTAATACAGGTAGCAGTCATCGTCGTATGCTTTCTTACACATCGGCAATTTGTGATCTCCAGAATCAGTTTACATTGGAAGATCCCTGCTCTTTCCCCACTGCTCTCAGATGGCTTGCTAGCAGGAGAAGGTTGCTGAACAACACTGCAAGGTGGCTGAAGGCATTGTGGAAGAACCCCGGAACTGGCTCCGCCTGCCTGACCCACAGAGAGCCAGTCACTGACATCGGGGTGATGGAAGAACCTAGGGGTTTGTTGCAGAGCCAGGAGCTGGGCAGCTATCATTAGTTCCTAGGCTCCCCAAGGAGTTAGGGGTAAGGGTCCTTGTAGGTTGAACTTGAGACTGAGAGATGTGTCAGCATGTGTCCAAATTCTTAGTTGGTGAGTGGGACTCATGACTGCCTTTGGTCAATTAGGCCCTGCTCTTTATGTTGACCACGTGGGCTCCAGTAGGTCTGGGGTTTACAGGCAACATTTCGCCCAGATCACTGCAGGACAACCTGGCTGTCAAGAATCTTGTCTATTAAAGAAGCAAATGATTCCCTGAGCCCAGTAATTAGAACCTTGTAAGGTCTCTGTCTTTTTCTGTTCCATTGCCTCTTCTCTTACTCCACCTTTCAAGTAAAATAAATCTTTGAAAGAAGAAAAAGGATAGCCGAGTAAAAGGATGGGCTCGTGTTGGGCTCGTGCCTGTTGAGAAGTGCTTCCCTGGGACAGAGACCAGGAAGGGATGGCCTGCCTTATCCTTTGAAGAGTTTCCCTCGTACTGTGTAAACCATTTCCTGTACCTAATGTTCTATGAAATCACAATTCTATTCATGTTCCCCAGAATATTTTCCCCAGAGTAGTGGTACAAAAAGATGTACCACCGAGTTTAAGAGATGTTAGATACAGCCTTCTTGTTTTGGAAATTCAGAGGTCATTCTAAAAGCTCAGGACTGCTGCGGGGTGAGGAAGAAGTGAAGCCTGCAGTGGTGGAGAGTCTCCTGATTCACAGAAACAGATACTTTCCCAGTCAGTGTCAGTTTATATGTATTGTTGAAGCCACTTTGGGAAGTAGTGAATTGATGATTGTTAAGTACAAGAGCCGGTGAGGTCTGGGCTTGTTATACCTTGCCGTGCAGGAGGCTCTTTGGGTTGGTTTTCTGCTGAGACCCAGAGGGTCAGCTGCCAGAGGAGCTGTGGAGTTGCGGAGAGAATGATAGGCTGGGCTTGTTGTGGGGTTTAAGTTGTCTTTGGTTCTTTGTTTTAAACAAATTCACTTGTAGTTAAAAAGGTCATACCCTTATGTGGAAAGTTCAGACAGCCTCCAAGTGCAAATTTTGCTTCTGTAGAAAGAAGTGCTTTGTCTCTCTGGCCTCAGTCATAGACAACTGCTAGATGAGCTCAGTGTCTTGACATGCTTGGGGAAGCACTAATGGGCTCAGGCCGCCATTGTTACAGACCTCTGCGTGGGTCTCTTCTTGTCGCTCTCAGAAGCTTGTGGATTTAGTGGTTTGTTCTGCTTGTTTCTTTTCTCTGTTTCTTCATTTACATTTCCAGACAAGATAACATGGTCGTACGTACTTGCATTGCCTTTTCTTTCTTTCCTTTTCCCTTTTTCTCTTCTTCCTCTTTTCTTTCTCCCTCTCCCTTCCCCTCCCTTCCTTCCATCCTTTCATCCATCCATCCTTCCTTCTTGTCATTTTATTTCTCTCTGTTTCTCTCCTCCTTCCGTCCTTATTTGTTTCCATTTTTACTTGAAGTGCAGAATTTCTTTGATGGCCAGCTTTGGGCTGACCCCAGGCTACGGGGCAGGAGCTTCTTCTGGATCCTCCCCTGAGTTCAGGGACCCAGGGATTTGGGCCATCCCCCACTGTTGGCCGCTGCTTGTTTCCCAGGTCATTAACAGGGAGCCCGGCTGGAAGTGAAGTGACCAGGGCTTGAACCCGCACCTGTATGGGGCACCGGCATCGCAGGTGGAAGCTTAACTTGCTGTGCCACAGCCCCGGCCCCACTTTCACTTTTCAGTTGTTTACCTTTTTTAACCTTAAATCTCTCACCAGATTTTTACTTTGGTTCCTAATGTGACTTTTTTTTTTCCTGTTTTTTGTTAATTTTTGTTTTGTTTTCTAACACTCAAATCTGCTTTTGATATTGTTTAGTTGGAAAACTTCCCAAGTTCACATAAGAAACATATTTTCACGTTAAAGATGTTTTTTACTAAGCATTGCCTTATTATGACCACATTTAAAAGAAATAGTGAGGGCCCGGCGTGGTGGCGCAGTGGTTAAGGTCCTCACCTTGCACGTCCGGGATCTCATATGGGCACCGGTTCTATCCCGGCAGCCCCACTTCCCTTCCAGCTCCCTGACTGTGGCCTGGGAAAGCAGTCGAGGATAGCCCAAAGCTTTGGGACCCTGCACCCGCGTGGGAGACCCCGAGGAGGCTCCTGGCTTCGGATTGGCATAGCATCGCAGTTGCGCTCACTTGGGGAGTGAATCATCGGATGGAAGATCTTCCTGTCTGTCTCTCCTCTCTGTATATCCGCCTTTCCAATAAAAAAATAATAAAACAAAATCTTAAAAAAAAAAAAAGAAATAGTGAAAACTGCCTTGTGCAAGATTTTTTATTCTTAGCTCTCATTTACATTGTCAGGATTGTTTGTTTTAAGCTAGCTAAAATGAAAATTCATTTTACTTAATATCAACATGCTTATTTTCACTTTTCAGTATGTTAAAATGGCATTTCAATATTCACTTTTGTTGTTTCCAGGATTACAGGATTCTTGAGTAACGCAAGTGTGTTAGGGTCACTTGTATGTGTAACACTTTACCATTCACTTGTGTGTGTAACACTTTACCATTCACTTGTAGGGTGTGTTTGACCATCGAATGAAGTGCTGGCAAAAATGGGAAGATGCTCAAATTACTTTGCTCAAAAAACGTGAAACTGAGGCCAAAATGATGGTTGCTAACAAACCTGATAAAATACAACAAGCTAAAAATGAAATAAGAGAGGTGATTACTAAATACTTTCTCAAATTTTCCTAAGTTTTTTTCTGAGCCATTCAATATTTAGCTTCTTTTCCATGCTTTAATGAACTGTATTAAACTTATCTTAACGTTTTAATCCTCATTGAAATGTGCAGACCCTTTTGTTACCTCCCCATGACCCTGACAAGGATAAAAAAAGCATGCGAGGAACAAATCTGAAATTAACCCCGTGGTCATCAGTGCACATTGTACTTAGATGGCAGATCTGATTGCAAATGAGTATATATTTATATCTAAAAGAGTATTAGAAATAGACAAACCTAATCTTAGCTGGCTGGGTCACATTATCCCCCATAAATACATACTATATATAGTATTGTAGTACATTGGTGTAAGTTTATTATAATTTATACACTTTTTTTGCCATGCTTCAATAAGGAAATTGAAGAGGTAGGACAATCTTTACATTACTAAAAATAACCGTAGCTGCTCTGTGAGGAGTGTTTACCCAGTGTTTTGGTTCTGCAGTGGGAAAAATATCTCCTCGTTGCTTAAACCGTCAAACCTTCCGTTATTTTTGTCACTGATTAAAATATTTTATTATGTTGGTACTGAACTTAGCCACAAAACTTGTGCTTTTTTCCTCAACAGGCCATAATTAGCTTTGTTTTTTACCTTAGTCATTCATTTTAACATTGCAGAAGTATTTTTTAAATATATGTCATATAATTTTAAAAAATACTTTTATTTCCATATAAATTGTGATGAACATGTGTTCTTAGTAACATTGATACATTCTAAAATAATGAACTATATAAAAAAGAGAAAATTACACTGATTTGTTTTGGTGAACTTTATACTCAGAATCTTTCCTCATAATTGTGGTGTTTCAGCAAGTATTGGGATTTGCTGTAATTCTGTTTGAAATACTAATGGAAATTAGGCCAACATGCTTTTCTAGTACTGGAAAGTGAGCTACAAGTTTGAATGATTCCAAGTGGAATTTGTACTGAGCTTTTCTAGAACCAAGATTAAAATGTTTCTTCCTTTTGTTTGCATTAGTGGGAAGCAAAAGTTCAACAAGGAGAAAGAGATTTTGAACAGATCTCTAAAACGATTCGAAAAGAAGTAGGAAGATTTGAGGCATGTATTACAATTTTGCTGTCTTCTTAACGTGATATTTTGTTGTAATTTTGTGATAAAAATTGAGTTTTTTACTAATGAACTGTTTTGTCATATTTTGCACTCTAACAGAAAGAACGAGTAAAGGATTTTAAAGCTGTTATCATCAAGTACTTAGAGTCATTAGTACAGACACAGCAACAGGTAAAGCTAACTTTTTATTATAACACAAATTGTGAGAAATTGGTTTGGTGTACTAGTCTACTTTAAAGGCAGTGACAAATTAAATGAGCTTTTAAACTCAGTGAAGAATAAAAAATTTAGAGAAACTAGTGAAGGCAGAGGACAAAGTACAAGTTAAAGCATTTGGAAATGGTTTCAAATCCTTTTTTCCTTTTTTAAGCTTTAAACCATTTCAGTTTCAGGCCATGTGACATCTCATAGACAACTTTGCTCTTTTCTCTGTGTTTCTTCCTGGTTAATCACATATTTGAGTAAATTTGCCAAGGGAGTTGTTCTCTTCTGCATTGGTGCTCATATGAAAAGCACAATTTAATTTTTTTAAGTCACTGTTTTTATTTTGTTTGAGGGTTTTGGTGGTTGATTATTCCAAATGGTGTTTGTGTTCCTAACTAGAGAAAAATCATTTATTTTAATTATCCAATCATAAAAATCAATTAACTAAAACGTTTCTTTTCTGCTATTTTTTTAAACCTTTTTTTTTTTTTTAATTGGCAAGTCACATATACAGGGAGGAGGAGAGACAGAGAGGAAGATCTTCTGTCCGATGATTCACTCCCCAAGTAGCTGCAGCAGCCAGAGCTGAGCCAATCCAGAACCAGGAGCCAGGAGCTTCCTCTGATTCTCCCACGAGGGTGCAGGGTCCCAAAGCTTCAAGCCATCCTCCACTGCTTTTCCAGGCCACCAGCAGGGAGCTGGATGGGAAGTGGAGCATCCAGGATTAGAACAGATTCCCATATGGGATCCGGATCCCGGCACATGCAAGGCGAGAACTTTAGCTGCTAGGCTTTGATACTGGGTCCCATTTCTACTACCTTTTAATGGGAATTTGAGTAACAGATCAAATCGCTCAATTTCTAGAATAGAATAATTTTTCCCTCCAATTGTAAATACGTGAGTGTAGAACCTTGTCCATGTGTTGGTTTGCTCCTTAACAGCCTGTGCCTGCCAGCGTCCTGGACATCAGCCAGGTCTCTCAGGTGCTGGTGCGGACCCGGGTGCCTGGGTCACCACCCCTGCTTTCGCATCGCAGGAGGTGGACAGGACGCAGAACAGCTGCCCCTCAGGTCTGTGCTCGCCTGGGGACCTCGTGGCACACATGGCAGCTTCACCTGAGGCAGCACAGTGCTGCCCCCGCGTTTTCTTTCCTTTCTGCTTGTATGCTGGCCTTGGCTAGCCATACCATAAAGGGTGAATTCCTCTCAAATAGAGATCTATATCACTGTATGTTGGAGGAACATTATTTAAGTTAATATTTTTACTGTAGAATTATCTATTTCTAGTGAATGTTTTTCATCCACTTCAGAGCAGAGTGACAGACATGGGGAATCTTCTTTGAGGCCGCTGTTTGGCAACTACCACTCAGTATGGTATATGGGCGTGCAGGTTCAAGTCCCACTGCTTCCATCAGCTCCCTGCTCATGCGCCTGAGGACTCAGCCTGGCCAGCCGTAAATAGCGTGTGGGGCTGAGCCAGCAGACGAAGGAGCTCTCCATGTCTCCCACTTGCTTGCTCTCTCTTAACTCTGCCTTTCAAATGAATAAAGCAAATGTTTACCAAAGAATAATGTATGAATATGACAGGTGTTTCCGATCAGGAGGTTTAAAATGATCTTTTTTAGAACCTAGTGCTCACCTTAAATGATTATTCTGTGCTAATACAAAGTGTTTTAGAAAACAGACTAAGTTTTAATCATTGTCACTTAACAATAGATTGTTCTAAATGGTATATGGGATATATGTATACATATGACAGAAAATATCATCGGAACGTGTTGTCTTTTTCTTGCCATTCACAGCTGATAAAATACTGGGAGGCATTCCTGCCGGAAGCCAAAGCCATTGCCTAGCAGGAAGCCGGTGCCTGCTGAGACCAGCTTGGACGTGTGCTCCAATGACGCCGAGTCCCACGCTGAAATCATTTAAAACCATCTAAATAAGCCACTCTATATTTTATTAATGACATGTGGTTTTTTATATATATACTCTGACATTTGATTACCAGCTGCATGTCCTGACCCTCTGAGTGGACTGTGGCATGACATTCCGCAGTACTTTGCTGAATTGAACACTATTGTGTCTTAAATACTTGCACTGAAAAGTGCCCTGCAAGGCAAGAACATTTTACAATATTTTTTCTTTACAGTATGTTCTGTAGCAAGTTTACCCTTTCTGAAGTGAATTATCAATGCATTGATTACTGTTCACTTATACATTCCTGTACAGAAATTATGATTTTGTGATTATGATAATAAAATGCTATTCCTTGTGAAGTATTAGTAACAAGTTATTTGGGTATGTGAAAATGGTAGGGATCTGTTCATAGCATTTTTACTTGGTAAGAGAGTTTCTTCTGGATTTGTGTACATGATGCTGTGAGTCTTCAGTTATTTTGACTGACAGGAAAAGCCAAACTCTTACATTTTACATGAGCTAATAAGCTTAACTTTTCTCACAAAGTCATCCAAAACCAAAGAATATTTATCTCTTGATTGTCTTGGATAAACGAAAGAACAGTTGTCTATTTTTACTCGTGCCTGTTTGAAGTGCCTGGTTTAAGAGTTAAAGTGGAGGAGAGCATCTGTGTGCTTGTATCACAGATCTCACAGCCTCTGCTTCTCTTCTGCTGTTACTGTCACAACTCAAGACTTTGCGTGCACTTAATTTTTCCTTTTTGCTTTTTGTTTTTTAAGCTAGAAGTAGATACACAGGTCATAATAGAGCAGGATCAGCATGCTGTGATTTGGTGAGTTACTAAGGACAGCGCAAAGCAAATTGGAAGTAAAATGAAATCTAGTCAGTCTGGTACCTTTCTCACCTTCTTTGTATTTTGTTTACATAGGAGTCATCTAATCCTTGATGGTAGTGAAAATGTTATGACAGTTATTTTCATCTTTTCAAACAAATTCTCAGACGCCTGCCTCTTTGACTCCCCGCCATGCCTGCGCTCCGGAGGAAGAGGAGGCCCGTGTGTTTGAATCCTCTCAGCTCCAGGATGTGATCCCTATGCAGAGTTCTGCAGGAGGAGGTCTGGCAGAGGCGTTCCTCGGACGGGCGCGCCTAGATCCCAGCCAGATGCCTGGCTCGTAGTGAGCTGATTGAAGACCCAATGGATTCAACAGGGAAGAAAAAGCCCAGAACTCGCAACTGGTAGCGCAGTGTTCTGTTACTTCCAGGGAAAATGGCTTGAAGGAGTAACTCACAGTGCAATAAGTCCAATGCCCGGTTAACATAGCCTAGCAAAAACATAGCCTACCCATGAATAGTTTTAGTGAAATGTGCTGCTGTTAATGACTTGCAGAGGTATAGTTCATGTGTCGAATAGTAACTCATCCAGAATCTTCCAGTCATCTTTGGTACATTCATGAGAACATTCAGCAGCTCTGAGTAAAATAATAAAGATAAGGAAAATAATGGACCCAGACTCCATTCTGGGCTCCCTTTGCTAGCATTTATTAGAAGCTAAGGAATGTGCTGGAAATTTCAAGTAAATTACATGAGCCTCTGATACCTAGCGACATCTTAACAGTTTAATTGTTTTGTCAATCTTCATGCCACTTATTCTTTGCTAAAGTGTTCCCATTCCGAGTAAGTTACACAACAGCACTCATAGTGTAAAAGTATAGTTTTTCAGTTGTATAAATCTCATTTAAATATTTAGTTGAATCAGATGACAGTAAAGGACTATCATAGCATATGCTGGGACACTGTGAACCCTGAACATACATGTGTGTTCAGTCTTTTTTCTTAAAACACACAAGAGCTTGATTGAAAGGCAGAGTGAGAGACTGAGAAAGAGCTTCCATTTGCTGGTCCACCCTGCAAGTGTGTCCAGCAGCCAGAGGCAGTCCATATCAAGCTGGGAGCTAGGAGCTTCATTTGTGTTTACCATGTGAGTGCCAGAAGCCCACATAAGTGCTTGAGCTGTTCCGTTGCGCACTCTAGCTCCCAGATGCATCAGGCTGCCGGACTGGAAGCAGTTGCTGTAATTCAAGATACAGGTGTCCCAGGCAGCAGCCCTAACGCTTTGCACCCTAATGTCCACCCGAGGGGCATATCGGGACAGTGCTTAGACAAGTATGTAAACTGGATTCCAGAAGCGCCCTTCTACTTGAAAACCTGTATTTAAAATACTGGTATTCTCATGGAAAACCAAATTCTATCCAAAGGCTGCTTTTTGTTAGTGATGCAAAGCAAGACAAAACTAATCAATATGGGTAAAATTCTGATTTCTAAAAGAGTAAGTTTTGATTTTTTGTATTTACTATTCTCAAGTATTATTGTATACATCTATGTTTACAATCTCAAGATACCTTCATCCAATCCTAGTAAAGTTTTCTCAGTATATTGTACTGTTTCCTAAGTAGTTTTTAATGACAAGTAAGCATATTGATATAATGAGCTTTCTTTAAAAGAAGGAAGTCAGATGAGTAGAGAAGGAAAGTTTTGTTACCATTTTAAAACGTGCTTAATGTGAGAATGATGAGACAGCCATGTTTGTTTGGCTAAGGGATACAGTCATATCCCTTAAGCTGAATGTCTGCTACCCCCTTCTTGTCCTGGCTCATGCACAGGGGGCGGAATGCCTGCAGCTCGGCCTGGCAGGGTTGTGCTGTGCGGGAGAGGGCGGTGCCTGGCCTGGGACTCGGGAGGTGTTTCCGCTGTACATGCAGCAGGAAAGGGGTCTGATAGTTGTGAACGAGATGGCCTGCTTTGCTTTGAACCTAACATTCTGAAGTTTTAAAAAAACAATTGCTAACGTTCAGAGTGAAGGATGTAGTTTGAAATAATAATGGATGCAGTAATTGACTGGACATTGAAACAAGAAAAGGCAGTTATGACAAGGGAAGTGCGAATCATGGTTCTTTACTCAGTCTTGGTGGTCAGGACTACATGGGTGTGATCCTTAGGGTTGAAGTGGAAATGTAACAGGAGCCACACATATATGATAGTTACATTCTTAAAACTAACATTTAGCGCACTAGCTCCCAGGTGTCTTCAATTTGTTGACTGTATTAAGATTATTGAAATGGGATTTTCAATGTTCAGAATCATGTGTATTAGTCTGGCTAGTTCTTGCGCCGACAGCATGGGTTTAGACAGTGCCTGAGTTTAAAAAAAAAAAAAAAAGGCAGAGTGAATATGGCAGCTAGTGAATATTAAAAGTCATGGTCGCAGTGAGGAACCCGGAGCTGTGCAGCAGGGTCCTTCCCCTCCCGCCCCGGTGACTGCCTTCTGTAGGCGTGGCCGGGAGTGGCAGCAGAAGACTCGCAGGCAGTCACCTGTGGTCACCTTGATGCATGACAAGCTTTTCATGATTGCTGTTCCCATCATTGACATAGAATTCTCAGAAGTCTTTGGGGACACAAATCTTCAAACTGGCTTCAGAAACTGCTGACAAAGTGAAAAATCTAGGAACCAGGGAAATAGTAGCTTTTTGTCTAACTTTAATGTACATTAAGAAATTAGATATACTCATTTTTTATTTATTTTTATTTGGAAAGCAGATTTACAGAGAGATGAAACAAGAGAGAAAAAGCTTTCCATCTGCTAGGTCACTCCTCAAGTGGCTGCAACAGCTAAAGCTGAGCCAGTCTGAAGCCAGGAACCAGGAGACTGGAGCCTCTTTGGGGTTTCTCAGGCAGGGGCAGGGCACCACAGCCCTGAGCCATAAGCAGAGAGCTGGGTTGGAAATAGAGCAGCTGCAAGATGAACTGACACCCTATGGGATGCAGGCATTTGCGGGTGGAGGATTAGCCAGTTGCACCATTGTACCAGCTCCTTGTCACATACTTTTTAAAAATTCTCTAAAAACTCAGTATTTTTCCTAAGTGGGTGAAATGGGCATTCAGGTGATCTCAGTGAGGCTACCCATTTGTTAATACACAAATCATTATTTTTCTACTCAGGCCAGTTAATGGGGCAGCCATTTTAAGGGAGAACTTCAATATTTTGCATTTATAAATGTGATTGTATATATAAAGCCAGACCAAACTTAAAGCCATTTAAACAATAAACTGCCTTGCTGCTACTTAGTCGAGTCTCGAGTTATCTTGATTTCAACCTGTCTTGGGTTTCCTGGGCTTGATATCACATGTCTCAATTTCAGCTCAAAATGCTTTCCAGTCGCCTGTAACTCCACGTGCTTCTGTCTTCAGAGTTACAGTACAGGGGTCATTTTGCCAATGCCAACTTGAGTTGATTCTATTTCTGAACTATCTGCCATTCTCATTGCCCCTGTGTCCCAAGGTCAAGAACAGAACCAACTTAGATCGCCAGTGCAGTGAATTTTTTTTTTTAGTCTTTACTTGCTGTCTTGGCAGTCCTGCTCCACTGCTAAATAACTCACGCCACTGGACAAAGTTCAGAATTCTTAAGCAGCCTCTTGGTGTGATCAGGCAGCTACTAAGCAGAGAGGAACACAGGGCGACAGCAGCCACATCGCTCAGAACCCCACCCACTGCCAGTGCAGCGTGGCTGTCGACACTCCCTATCCATCCCCATCAGGCGCCTGTGCCTTGTACTGATGGGGCTTCAGCCCCTTGTGGAGGTGCCCACCGTTGGGATCCCCTCTTAATCAAACGAAGCCGCTCTCTCTCTCATGACCTGCCCCTGGGTCACGTGCTCTTAGGAACAGCCCTGAGGCATCTTTAACTGTGTTAACATGTAATGTCCACATTTTCACAAACATGCTTTCAAGTCCTGTCGCTAGAAAGAAGGACCCTTGCTCCAGCAGGACTAATGATGCCTTGCTCCTTCTAGATTGTGCTGATGGATGTCGGATGTCAGTCTTGCTGGATCCTTGTCTGGCCTTGTTGCCATCCCCTGTGCGTGTTTCCTGAAGAAAGTTCTTAGCTTTGTTGTTTTTCTGGTACTGATTGGCAGTGTGGGCATCCAGCGCACTGGTTTGGATCCTGGCTGAAGAACCTACAGCTTGACTGAGTAAGTTACTTTGCTTTACAGCTGTTTCGTTTATTACAGCAGGGAAAGTGCCCCCTGATAGGAGTCTGGTAGCAGTAGCAGGTACTTAATGTTTGCTATGATTAATGTTACTGAATCCTTCAGTGTCTCCGAGCAAAGCTCTTGTATTTCAGCTGTTTGATCTGTCTAACAGGGCTTCTTTGCAGTCTCCCTGCTTACTTACCCAAAAAAGTCTCTCCCAGAACATTCTGCCACCGGAGATGCGCCATGGGAGCCTGTAGAGCGACGGTCACGAGTAGGGGAGAGGTCTTGGCTGTTGGATCACTGTACATCCAGGCGGCAATGCCCAGCC